TGTATATTTCTTTTATATCCTGTGACTTTACAGAATTTATTTATGTGTTCTAATAGTTTTTTTGGAGTCTTTAGGGTTATATATACATTATCATGTCACCTGCAAATGGTGACAGTTTTACTTCTTTCTTACCTAATTGTATGTTGCTCATTTATTTTCCTTCTCTGGTTGCCATGGCTAGCACTTCCAGTACTATGTTGAATAAAAGAGGTGAGAGTGGGCATCCTTGTCTTGTTCCTGATCTTAGAAGAAAAGCTTTCAGCTTTTCACCATTGAGTGCAATGTGAGCTTTGGGCTTATCATGTCTTTTATGGCCTTTATTATGTCAAAGTAAGTTCCCTCTACAACTACTTTGTTGAGAGTTTTTATCATGAATGGATGTTGAAATTGTCAAATGCTTTTTTGGCTTCTATTGTGATTTTTATTTTTATTTTTATCCTTCCTTTTGTTGATGTGATGCATCATGTTGGTTGACTTGCAGATGTTGAACCATCCTTGCATTCCTGGTCTAAATCCTACTTGGATGTGGTGAATGATCCTTTTTGATATATTTTGGAATTCAGTTTGCTAATATTTTGTTGAGGACTTTTGCATTTGTTATTCTTCAGGGATATTGATCTGTGAACTTCTTTTGGTGTAGTGTCTTTCTCTGGTTTTGGTACTAGGGTAATGCTGCTGGCCTACTAGATTGAGTTTGGAAGTACTCCTTCCTCTTCAATTTTTTTGAATAGATTGAGAAGGATAGGTACTAACTTTTCTCTAAATGTTTGGAAGAATTCACCCATGAAGCCATCTGGTACTGCACTATTGTTTCTTTGGAATTTTTTGATTACCAATTCAATTTCATTAGTAGCAATTGGTTGGTTCAGATTTTCATTTCATCCTAATTCAGTCTCAGAAGATTGTATGTTTTTAAGAATTTATCCATTTCTTCTAGGTTTCCCAATTTATTGGCATATGATTTTTCACAGAATGTTCTTATAATCCTTTGAACTTCTGCAGTGTTGGTTATAACCTCTTCTATCATTTCTGATTTTGATTATTGGAGTCCTCTCTCCATTTTTTCTTGATGAGTCTGTCTAAAGATTTGTCAATTTTGTTTATCTTTTCAAAGAACCAACTCTTAGGTCCACTGATATTTTTCCTATTGTGTCCTTAGTCTATCATTTATTCCTACTCTGATCTTTACTATATCCCTCCACTAACTTTAGGCTTTGTTTTTTCTTCCTTTTCTTTTTCCTTTCATTGTAAGGTTAGATTGATTATTTGAGGTATTTCTTGTTTCTTGAGGTAGGTGTGTATTGTTATGAACGTTGCTCTTAGAACTGCTTTTGCTGCATCCCACAGATTTTGTGTTTCTGTTTTGTGTCCATGTATTTTTAAAATTTCCTCTTGACTTGTTCATTGACCCATTGATTATTTAGTGCCTTGTTGTTTAGCCTTCACATGTTTGTGTGTTTTTTTGTTCTGGTAGTTAATTTCTAGTTTCATACTGCTGTTGTTGGAAAAGATGCTTGATATGAATTCAGTCTTCTTAAATTTATTGAGACTTGTTTTGTGACACAACATGTGATCTATCCTGGAGGACATTTCATGTACACTTGAGAAGAATGTGTATTCTTGTGATTTGGAGAAAAATGCTCTGTATATGTCTGTTAAGTTTATCTGGTGTAATGTGTTATTCAATGCCACTGTTTCCTTATTGATTTCCTGTCTGGATTATCCATCCATTGATGTAAGTGGGTGGTAAAGTCCCCTACTATTATTGTATTTCTGTCAATTTCTCCCATTAGGTCTGTTATAAAGGAAATACTATTTACTTAGGTACTCCTTTGTTGGGTGCATAGATATTTACAGTTGTTATATCCTCTTATTGGACAAATCCTTTACCATTATACAAGGCCCTTCTTTGTGTCTTGTTACTTTTTTTGTTTTGAAGTATATTTTTTCTGATATAGGTGTAGGTATTTCCACTCTTGTTTAATTTTCACTTCCATGTGCATGGAATATCTCTTTCCATCCCTGTACTTTCAGCCTGTATTTGTCTGTAGGCCTGAAGTGACTTTCTTGCAAACAGCCTATAGATGATATTGTTTTTTATCCATTCAGTCACATTTACATATTTTGATTAGAGCATTTGGTCTATTTACATTTAAAGCAATAATTGATAGGTATGTACTTATTTGCCATTCTGTTAATTGTTTTATGTTTTTTTTGGTAGTTCTTTGCTCCTTTCTTCTTCTCTGGCTCTCTTACCTTGTGATTTGATGACTTTCTTTAGTGTTATGCTTAGGTTACTTTCTCTTTACTTTGTGTTTATATTATAGGCTTTTGGTTTCTGGTTACAATGAAATTCATATACAGCATCCCATGTATATAGCAGTCTATTTTGCATTGATGGCCACTTAAATTTGAACACATTCTAGAAGCACTATTTTTTAAATTTTTCCCTCCACCATATTTTGTTTATGTGATATCGTAATTTACATCTTTTCCTTTTGTGTATCTTTTGACTCAGTTTTGTATATATAATTGACTGTATTCCTTTTCTTTTAACCTTTATGCTAGCCATATAAGTGATCAATTTATTCACTTACCACTATGCTTGCTTCTGCCAGTGACATTTTTTTTCATAGTTTTCTTTCCTCTAATTATGTCCTTTTCATTTCCACTTAAGGAAGTTGTTTTACATTTCTTGTAAGGCTGGTTAAGTGGTGATGAACTCATTTAACTTTTTCTTGTCTGGATAGTTCTGTATTTCTCTTAAATTCTGAATGTAAACCTTATTTTGTAAAATATTCCTGCTTGTGGATTTTTTTCTTTTCAGCACTTTGAATATTTCATGCCATTCCCTTCTGGTCTGTAAAGTTGGTTTCCATTGTAGGTAACTGTCTTCTTATCTCTTGTTACTTTTAAGATTCTTTTATTCACTTTAATCTTTGCTGTTTTAATTACTCTGTGTCTTGGTGTGAACCTCTTTGGGTTCATCTTGTTTGGGGCTCTCTGTACTTCCTGGATGTGGATGTCTGTTTCCTTCCCCTCATTATGAAAGTTTTCAGCTATTATTTCCTCAAAAATTTTCTGCCGTTCTCTCTCTTTTCTCCTTCTGGGACTCCTATAATCCAAATATTATTACCCTTGCAATTGTTGCAGAGATGCTTTCATCTCTCTTAATCTTCTAAATTCTGTTTTCTTTTTGCTGTTCAGCTTTATTTCTTTCCACTGCCCTGTGTTACAGACTGCTGATCTATTCTTCTGTATCCTCTGCTCTGCTGTTGATTCCCTCTAATATGTTTTTTATTTCAGCTATTGTATTCTTCATATCCAGCTTCTTTTTTATATTTTCTGTTTATTTAAGTTCCCACTGAGTCCACCCACTCTTCCCTCCTGTATGGTGAGATCTTTATTATTATTACTTTGAATGATTTATTAGATACTTTGGCTATTACCATTTCCTTTAGTTCTTTTTCTGAATTTTTGTCTTGTTTTTTTGATTGGAACATTTTCATTTGTTTCCTCATTTTGTCTGACTCTCTGTGGTTCTACATATTGGATAGGTCAGCTACATCTTGTTTTGAAAAGAGTGGTCTTATGTGAAAGGTATCCTGTGTTGCCTGGTAATGCAACACCGCTGGTCACCAACACAAGGTGTTCCTGTGTGGGCTGCATACATGCTCCTGTTGTGGCTTGGCTGTGACTGATGCAGGCATGCTGGTGGGTAAGATTTTTACCCTTGGCATAGCTGGATGAAAGGCCCTGCATCAGCCACTATGGGTGTGCTGATGTGTAGGGTAGACCTTAGCATACCAGCCTGTAATGTGCAGCTACAACTACTATAGATGCATTTTCAGGAAGGGTTGTCCCCTGCATCTTGCTGAAAGGCCCAGCTGCAGCTTCTGGAGGTGTACTACTGGGCAGGACTTGCCCCATGTGGGGCTTGCAGAAAAGCCCAACTTTAGCTATTGTGGATATGCTGGTGGGTGAAGCTAGTTCCCCTCTCCCTGAGGCAGAAGTTGATCTGGAGGGGCATAAGTTCTCGTCAGGGCTTCTTGCCAGTTGTGGCAGGGTAGGAGCTGCTTTGGAAGGGTTCCCTCTGGGGCTTAGGGAGTAGGTGGGGTGGGACTTCAGGAAGTGCTGGGGCAAAGACAGAAGTACTATCATGGTAGATGAAGAATGTCAGAACTCGCTTCTGGGTGCATCTGGCCAGGTGGGCTAAATGAGGACTAGAAAAATGGTGCCTGCCACCACTTCAGCTGCAGGAGAAAGTTCCTGCATATCCTTGCCTCTCCCATACACATCCTAAAATTAGTCAATAAATTTCCTTCGTGTATAACCAAGGTGCTTTTCAAATTGCTGCTTCTGTGTTGGGTCTCAGATCAATTGTTATAGTAGTCTGACCTTTTAAGAGTAGGGACTCAGTTTTCTACAGCACTCCTGCTCCCCTAGTGTTAAGCCCTACTAATTTTCAAAGCCAGATATTATGAGAGCTTGTCTTCCTGGTGCAAGTCCCTAAGGCCAGTGTGGTATTAGATCCCTTTGCTCTTCTTCACTTGTATCTCTCCTGATGTAGGTTGTCACATGATGGAGGAGGTATATCCCAACTACATCTCTTTCCATACTACCCTTTTCACTGCGTCCTTCTCTTTATTCTTTAGCTGTGGAAGATCTGTTCTACCAGTTGTCAAGTCATTTTCAGGGTGAGTTGCATTACATGTAGTTGTTACCTCAGTATGTTTGTGAGAGAAGGTGGGCATAAGATCCTGTTAGTTCATCATCTTCTGCTCTCCACAAATATTTTCAGTGAATGAATAAATAAATGTCTGTATTATATCTCCCAAAGCCTACCAGTTCTTAGTATATAGATGATGAGATGCTCCCAGTCCTCAGTGATCTCATTTTCATAAAGTCCATAATAATACAAAAGCTTCTCTCTGGGTTTTGCCTATTATTTCACCATGTAATAAAGATGTTGGCCTGAATTAAAGATAAGCAGTACTTACCTCAAATCGGGGTACATCCATTTCAACCTGTCCTCTTAGCAATGGGGTTTGTCTGGGAGTCTCATGGATCATCACACTCCATCTGAAATGAAGTTAACAGACAGACAGATATTTAGGGCTCTTCTTTATCATAGAGGATGACATCAATATCTCACATGTCAAGACAGGTCAAAATATTTATGTGGTGGTGGGAGATAGGTTGTAGTTGGTGCCCAAGCTGTCTCAGGATTCTTATTCTCAAGATATACCACAAAAATGGCCTCTGTCTCATGAATTCTCTAGACCAGTGTGAGGAAATAATTCCTTCACAGTGTTTTCAGAGGAGTGCTTTTCCACCAGAGGTAATTGTCAAGATCACCTGAGGAGCTTTTCTACAAGACACATACCAATTGGGTCCAAGATGGCAGTGAAGAAAGAAACTGAACCCACCTCCTGCCACATACACACCAAATCTACACCTACACACAAAGAAATTCATCCTGAGGAAGAAATGAGGCTTGTGTGGACACCTTCTGCATAATTAGGTGTCATGCCAGAGGCCTTCTGCTCTAGGCAAGTTCACTCTGAATTCAGTGAGAATGAACAATGACAACAGAATGTGGGAGGTAAAAGGGTTTATACCAAGGTTTATTCTCATGGTGGCAGGTCGAGTGCTAGAATCATGTCTACCTCCAGAAAGTCAACAATCCATCTCCATCTTTGCCTTCTCAGCAGAGCACTGGAAGGAGCTCTTTAAATAGTAACACCATCAATAATGGCTCATTGCCAACATGTGTGTGAGCACATGTCTACACAGTAGGCCAATTACATCATTGCCTGTGTGTAGTGGGAAAGCACAGTAGGGTCAGGTGAGGATCCTGGCCATAGGAACTTCCATTTTTCTTTCCTCTTCACCCTTCTAGGATTCTTGTCTCATAATCTACATGCCCTCAGTCTTCCACAGATGGTCTCTGTGCAAGAAAGCTGGAAAACTGTAACCAGATTCCTCAGAAACAGAGGCTATAATAACATACAGATAACAACAAAAATTATTATACAGATAACAACAAAAATTATAATAATAGTCGTCCTCAAGCCTGAGGAGATTGATTGCAACCAAGTGGTTATTCCAGTTGTATTCAAACCAGTTCTACTTAGATGAGTTCATGACTTGCACTTTCCACAAGAGGCCCATAGTGAAACTGGTAGGGAGTTCTGTGCACACCCAGCAAGTAGTAGTTTTTGCTAGGGTGCGTGTCCAATCCACAAAGAAATTAGAGATTAATCTTGAGGGTGATAAGACACATGTTTTAATAACATCAACATAAACAAATCTTGTCCATCAAGTAGGATGAATGCAAGAGGGTGGTCTTGTGATAGGATTGTGGCAGGAAGGGGGTCCCATCTGGATCTTGTATACAATACATTTACCTCTCTCCCTGTGGAGTTTACTGAGGGGTCTATGTGTAGTGGTACTGGAGGTGCATGTTTTATCTGTAAAGATAAAACAAAATTCTCCAGTAAGGCTCATGCCTTCTGGTCATTTAGGATACACTACCTTGATCCCTGGGAGTCACTCTGCTGTTACTCCAGAATACATAGGAGGCCAGCCTCCATGCCTTGTTCCCAAGGTGCCAGGAGGGTCAGCCCTCATTGGTACATGTGTCAAAATGTCCAGGGCCACATTCACTCAATGGAGTTTCTGTGGTTTATTGCAGTCAGTGCTGGCAGCAAGAAATTATTCTGGTGACCAAAATCCCAGTTTCAAAAGTTCCTTTTTAGATTATATTTGAAGTTGTATAGTGGAGGCAGCACTTCATATTAGCATATCTACAGGGCTAAATGGCCCTTTCTGGGGCTTCTCATTCAAATGTCATAGCACTGTCCATAAGCAGACTGAACATCCCCTTAGAATACTGGTGTTTGACTTCAGACCAGATTTGAAGAAACCATTGTATCTTTCTATCATGCCTGCCCCAGTAGGATTATATGGTACATGAAACATCCACTTTATTCCTAAGTGCTACACCTGTTCTTGTAGTGCATGTCCAGTAAAGTGGGTGCCTTAATCACTCTCAATTTCCTGTAGTCAGCCATAGACTGCAAAGAGACACTCTAGACCTATTTTGGTCTTTTTCTGGTCTGTGAAATGTGCAGGAAAGGCAACCAGAATTCGAGTAGCTGTGTCCACACAAGTAATGGCATATCAATACCCTTCTGATATAGGCAAAGGTCAAAATAGCCTATATGCCACCTGACAAGGGGTGTCAGCCCATTAGCTATTGTCCCATCTTTCTGTGGGACTTAGTGTAAGTTCTTTTGGGGGTATATGATACATTCTTCTGACTTCTTCAAAGGTCAAATGCAGGCCCTACCAATGTCTTCTGTCCTGCATGCAACAATGATGCAACCATTGGGCAACATCAGAGTCAGGCTTTCCTTCTAGCTAACATACCTGGGCCAATTCATCTGCTTTATCATTTCCTGGGGATGCCTGTGGCAATGGCCTGTCCTATGATACAATGTAACGGTTTTAGTCTGACCAGAGGCCCAAAGTCTTTCTACAACTATTGCCCCCAAAGAGGTGGGTGATCAACCAACCAGTTAGCATGGTACCATATCAGTAGCAACAGAGTCAAGCCCTGATAATGGGCTCCATAGCCAGTAAGGTGTGGTATACAGCAGCCAATTGTTTCTCTTTTAAGGTGTGCTCTACCTATGCCCTTTTTCAGAATTGTGACCAGAATCTAATAGGTTGGCAAGTTTGTTCAAGCCACTGCCAGAGACCCCAGGATAGCTGTCTTCAGTTGCATAGACATCCAGCTCACAGGGCCTTGACAGGTCTATCATACTCAAGGCCTGTATGGACTTGACTGCCAGCTTACCAGTGTCAAAGGCAAATTCACATGTTTCATCCCAGCCCCACCTGACACCATTTGGCACCAAATGGCATAATGGCTTCAAAATTTGCGCCCAATGTGGTGAAATACTCTCCAGTAGCCTAAAAGACACAAAATCTCTTGCAATAGTGTCAGAGTTGTATGTAAGAGAATTAGAAGTGAGCATGACATCATACACAGTATTAGACACCCTATTCCCAATAGGGTTTAGGCCTGTCAGCCTCACCCTGATAGTCTTACCCCTGTATCCATCTATAAGAGCACGGGTCCTGAAAAACTGCTCAGGATTGCCATAAATCAGTGAGAAGTTGGTTCCTGTGTCTAGCAGAGCCAGGACACACTAAACATTCACTGGGGACCAATGAATTGATATTTCAATATGTGGTCTCCCATCCACACCTGGTCACTATTAAGGTGGGTGTCTTGACCTTCCCCTCAGTCAAACCATATTGCACAATCATCTTGCTGTGAGGGTCCAGGTGAGACCAGCTCACTCTCCTGCTGGAAGTCTTTCAGGCACACAGGCCAGACTTGTGGCTTTGTCTCCAGCTTCCATTTCTTGGTCCTCAGTGGCCAAAACTATTGCTCCAGCTTCAATAGTTGTCACAGTTCCAGTAGGATTCTGTTTGACTTCCATCCAATTGCTCTTTGTCTGCTTCTGCCCATATCAAATCAACTCATATCTGGGTTCTTGTGACCTTCACAGGGCCCTTTAAGTCATTCCTCTCTGTAGTAGACCACACTCCCTCTGTGCCTGCATTGCTTCTGCCTACCAGAAATCTGCCACAGTACATGCAACCTTATTTATCAGATGCCTTAAGTGAGGGGCAAGAATGGCCACTAAGGATCCAAAGGGATGAGGGAGCCATTTGTAGCACCACATCCCTCATCCCTGAAGTAAACAGCTCCTCATCTGGGCCATAATTTACTGGGTTATAAGTGGCATTTTTCATGCCCAACTGCTGTAATACCTGTGGAGCTTGGCATACATCTGCCATCTAGCAGGAGAAGATGGTTAAGTCACCCTGAGGGGGCCACACAATACAAAGAGCAGCGTTTAGCTTGTCAAGACGTGAATGATTCCTGAGAGTCTGGTGTAGGAGATTGACATTCTGCAGTCACTGACCCAGGGCAGGAGAAGTTGTCAGGGAAGCCACATTTCCCATCTCTGATTAAGGCAGGAGGATACTATCCACCCCTTGCAAGAACCAGGTTGATATAGGCTCCAAAGGTTTCTGATGAAAATGGGAGCCCATATTCACCAGCTCTGCCTGTGTATAGGGATGGAATGTGGAATACTCCATGACTTTGCGAGAGGGCTGTACTCTCCCAGAGGAACCCGCAGTTGCTGCATCTTTGTTTTCTTGACTACAACTGGGTAGGATTTTAATAGAGAAGGGGTCTATGCCTCTGGTACCACCTCTACCTCCTCATTCTCCCCCAGCTCCTCTAACATTTCCAGGGCTGTCAGCACCTCTTTCACCATTCCACAGAGTGCCTCTTCTTCTACATCCTTTACATTTTCCAGAGCCTTGCAGTGACACTGTCTCAGTTATCAACAAATCTCTTACCTCCTCCACAGCACCTCACAGCTGGTATTGTCATGCTGCCTCTTCTGGTGCTTCTCATAGGAGTACATCCTCCTCCTTCATGACCTTTACCTCTTTCACAGTGTCTTACAGTGATGCTGTCTCAGTCACCAACAACCACAGCACCTCACAGTCTGCATGCTTGTGCTGCCGCTTCTTGTGCTTCTTACAGGAGTACATACTTCTCCTTCATGGCCTCTACCTCTTACACAGCACCTCACAGTGATGCCATCTCATTCTTCAACAAATCTTTTACCTCCTTCACAGCACCTTGCAGCCTGTATTTTTGTGCTGCCTCTTCTCATGCTACCATCACATCCTTAACCTTCTCCATAGAGCTTCAGAGTGATGCCATCTCCTTTTTTTCTTCCTCCTTCATGACATTTGCCTATTCTCATGCTTCTCACAGGAGCATGTTCTTCTCCTTTATTGCCCTTGTTAACACTGTGAAGAATAGCCAACCCATGTTTCCCCCATTATGTGGGCACTCTACTTCTCCAAGGAATTCCCTATTTTTTAGTGAGCCTCCTCTACTGCCACAGATATCATATCCACCTCCCCTAAGTCCTTGGAAGTGATCCAGTACTGTAAGAGGATAGCCACCTCAGACCATA